AGTCTTTGCAATAGGATATCACGGTCGATGGTATCAAATGCAGCACTAAGATCGAGCAAGACAAGAATAGAGACAAGTCCCTTGTCTGAGGCTACAACATGAAAACAACATGAACATTACATTAAGCAGACGCTTTTATCCAAAACAATCTACAATGTGTGCATTCAACCGTAAGGATACAAACTCAAAAAGCACGAGTCCTGTAAGTACATTAGCCTTCAATAAGCCAACCCATTGTAAGTGATACTGCATTGGCATAAGCCACACTGAAGTATTATTTTATTACTAGTGTAAGGGAAACTTCTGTGTAGCAATGCAGTGGGAGTCACCGACTCATGAAGGAGAAACGGGAAGAGCAGGAGCTTTGATGTCAAACACCGATGGTTTATTATAGGAGCTTCGGCCGGAGGATTCACATCACAAGTCACAGCAGTCACGGTCTGACTGCACGGGAGAGTTGCCACGTCAATTCTGAAGAACTCTAACCCAGACCCATGTATTTAGCTAGTTCAGAGAGAATAATCAACATGCTGCATAACAAGATAGAATCATAACACCTCGATCAGCTGACGCCAACAGGCAGGAACATAGAACCATAACACCTCTATCAGCTGACGCCAACAGGCAGGAACAGGGAGACAGAACACTGAGAGCACAGCAGCCAAGGTTACAGGTGCGTGTGCTCAGTCAGGACAGTTTGAACTGATAAACTGGGTCAAAGTTATGGACCTTGGAAAATATTTCCCCAACAACTAGCACCATCTCAATAATAAAGACCTGAGAACTGTCCCAACTGAAGATACTGTTTTACCGAGAAAGTATATGTATATAGAATTTGTAATAAACTTTTTAAACAACTATTTAATATAGTCCCTGTTCAATTGCCAATGAAGCGTATGATGGGATATTCAGTTTGAGTGTAAGGAGATTATGAGGAGACAGACAAATCTCAAAATGGTTACAGAATAGTTTCCACGACCAAAGTTGTTCCGAGAATATTTCCAATAAAAGATTTCCAAGTTGCCATTATTTTAAATGTTTGATTGAAGAGCTCTTTCAGGCTGTTTGAGGACGCTTTGCCTTTGAACTTATGTACTAATTTTAGGCTAAGAAAAGGGCAAAAGTGGCTTGAGAGAATGTTGTTTATTCAAAAGTTCTGTCTGTTTACCTGCCTCTCCGGCTCAGGTTACAGCCAAGACTCTGGCCCAGCAGGAGGAGCAGCTGAAGAAGATGGAGACCATCAGTGCTCTCCAGGAAACCGTCAGGATGCTGAACACAGAGAAGGACAAACTGGAACAAGAGATGCAGCAGGCGCAGACTAAAGTAAGACTCGAGTGTTGCACTTCATATCATTGTCAGCTGGGACTCATTTACATTTTTCATGACGTTTGTCCCTTCAATCAGAACACGCGTCTTCCCATTTTATTTGTACTCGCGTAGGATTGTATTTGGGGCTGCACAATTTGCCAAAAACGTGAACTGAATTTGCGATAAGATTCACGATAATAGAGGGAATGGGATTTTCCAAAACATTATTCACATTATCATTGAAAAATATATTTACATGATCATGGTGGGATTTTTCTTTTTCCAGAGAGCCTGTACCAAACAAGGCAATTGACTTAAGTCTGTAGAGTAACGTTTTATAGAAAACAGCAGCACCACGAGACTTAGACATTTTCAAATGTTTTGACTTTAGAACATATTGTGCTTTCTGCGATTTGGTTATTAGAAGTACATATTGCGATACTGACCACATTTTAATGAGTTGTAGTTCAGCCCAAGTTGTAACTTGAAAAGGAAGGGCTAATGGCCTTTAAGAATCTGCTTATACCGCTCTCATGGTAGAAAAGTGAAAAACTGAGCAAGAGTTAAAATACAGGAATGATGGTATAAGAAAGAACAAACTCATATAATGCTGCTTATATTAACATTATATTTATCCTCTGTTAAAGCAGGGGGAGCTTATCATTTATGATTACTATATTTATGATGGTTTGGGATATTCTCTTAAAAAGATGTGTCCTATCTATGATTCAATACAAATATGTGACCTACTCCATGGAAATCAGTCGCATTGAGCCAAAGACACATTTTCAGTTGTATACACTGTTGGAAAGAGGAGATTCCTAGCTTTCTAATGACATCAGGATTGTTGTTGTACTTCAAATATTAAGCAATATGTTACATTATATAATGACTGTCACTGAGTCATCATTTTGAGAAAAAGGCCTTTCCTTTTCTCTGGAATCCATCGATCTGATTGATTATTAGCAGAGCAAATGATCGAAGTACTACGTAGGGAAGATATTTTCGTTTGGATTACTGGTCTGGGAGAAGCTCGCGAGTGTGTGTGTATATACGTGTTTTTGTGTAATTTTGCGTTTGTGTATTGCGTTTTTTTCCCGGGGAAAACACTCACGAGAAACACTGGCTGTTGTTATGCCTGCTGTGACGTTAAGTTACTCCGTTCTCCGCTTGTAATTATGCCGTTACAAGCTTCAAAGTTGTATTTATCATCTGAATTTGCCGAAACAAGTTTAATATTCTGAAAGCCAAGACTTTGTTTATTTGAAATCAGATAAAAACAAACCGTAATGGACCCTGCCGTGTTATATATGATTACTATATGCCTTACATTCATAATTTCAGCCGAGGGAGGGGAAGCAGCGCTGTGGAAGAGCAGATTGGCGAGATTGAACAATCAAAAATACCAAAATACACACAGCTAGATCAGAACGCATTTTAGATGCGACTTTAGGGGAATTATTGAAACAGGATTTGTACAGTGTTCCGCGGCATCCGCCACTGCGAAAATGTGGGGCAGGGCTGAAAAGTGGGGGGGTCAATGGCCCCCTGGCCCCCCCCGCTTCCGGCGCCCTTGATCAGAACAACAGCTAAGGTAAGAAGCTTCCTCCGTGAAGCTATGTGTTGTGATGTCTGTTTTCGCTTCCCCTGTCGCGAGTTCGGTTCGCTCAGTGATGAATCTGTGGAATCTCAGCTTGCTAATCGATATCTTGTTTGTGCAGATACGATAAGTAATAAGGGTATTTAAGCAGTGAGTTCTGTGCTAAGTGCATTTTTCCGCTCAGGGCTCATTGTAGCATCTTGTGAGACTTGTGTTTGGTTCGGTAAAAATGGTTCGTATCGTCAGTTAGCTGAGTTTCTTCCCGTTAAGTGAGTATGGAACATTAATAGTTTCATAAATGTTAAGAAGCCCTGAGACACAGTTTTGTGAAAAAAAGCCCTTTTTAAAACATTAAATAATACTTTAGTTTAAGGTCTTCTTTTAAATACAAGTAAGCAAAAAGCTCTGGGGGTATCAACAGATACATATTAAGCCTGACAAAAGTGCTTAACGTCTAATATATTGCATGGTTTGTTTTGGGACTTGACAATCAACTCTCCTGCAATGTTAACTATGTTGAAGCACTTATTTTAACCAATATTATACATTTTTATTATACTCTTAAAAGATGTACTGTTTGTAGATAGAATAAGAAATGTGCAGAATTTGACAGTTTAATGGTGGAAGTATACACATATATTGATAGATGTCTTGTAATGCACTGTTGAGGAACCTGCGACCCAAGTATTTCATTCATGCTAAGGTTGTGAAAAATGTCACTTCGAAATTTATTTCTTTAGGTACAACGAAATGTCCAATGCAATTTACTTATGCATTCGTATAATTTTTCGGATTACTGTATTTTTTTATTACAACAAATTTGTATCCCATTTACTTATATGATATAATAGACAGAACAGAGTACACCTAGGGAGAGTGCTAAAGCGGGTGGACAAAAAACAGGCACCTAGTCATGCGGGAAAACTCCAAAAAAGAGATCGCCACGGAACTCTCCTCAAGCCGTAACAGACAACGAGCACACCCGGGAGGCGGAAAGGTGGGGAGTTGCCTGCCGAAGTCTGCAGACGGCGTACGGAAGTAGCCGGGCACACCACCGCGCGAAGACCTTGGACAGAGCGGCAAGCATGGCAAAAGCTGCAAGCGGGTACGGAAGTAGCCGGGCAGCCCTCCGCGTGAAGCCTGGGACAGACGGAAGGGAGTGAGCGACAAACCTGCAGCGGGGTACGGAAGTAGCACGGGCCACATCCTACCGCGCAAGCCTGGGACGTGACCGGAGAGGAGAATGGTGCCCGGTGCAAGCGGAGCGTCGCCAAGCATGCCGCGGGGCAGACTGGGCAGACCGGAGAGGGACAGTGCCGAGAAGGAGGGCCCCTACGACGAGGACGGGGGCCCCTGTGCGAGAGGAGGGCTCCTGAAGCACGGCCGGCGGCGACACCGGGAGCGGCGCGCCTGTCGGGGAAGGACACCCCATTAGTGGCCTAATAAGTGCGGGCAGCACCGAGTCGCTGGCGTCACAAGAGGCTGACCGCCCACCAAGAAGCAAGCGGTGCCTGCGGATGACGCCGCGAATGCTGCCGGGTAAGGACGGCGTGGGGTGGGGGCCACCCCCTACGGGAGCGCCGCCAATCCGAGGATGGGAGTGGCGCCGGGGGAAGCTGCCGGGCAAGGCACCGGCCCGGAGCGGAACGCCGGGGTGGGAGGAGCCGGGGACACCACGAAGGAGGGCCATCCCGCAGGCTTTAATCCAGATGTAGACATATGTGTTGATGCCCAC